AATGACGAGAACTATATTCTATATATAAAAGAAAGTCGTGTTAGTTACACCACTTATAACTCAAGAACGGCAGAATAGATTTGGCTGAAAATTTGTAGGGAGGTAGCTTAGAGCCAGGAGACCGACATAGGATACTTTTTAACCAAGTTTTTTTTACTTTTTACCGAAAATCACGAACGGGGACGGGAAAAAATGGGACTACGCGTACGAAGTCGCGGGTAGAAGCTAGTTATTATTTAAATCTTATTTCAAACACTACCTTCGTATATAAAAATATTGGAAATTTTCCGTTAACTTTAAATATGAGTTCTTTCCCATAGGATTTGGTTGCACGCTTGCACGCTTGAATAAACATGACTCAAAGCAATACACTACGACTGACCGCTTCTTTGCTCTCCTGGCTGGCTTAGGATCTACGTGAGATGCCTTTAAATCAGTGGTTAGATGTCTAGAATCTATGTAGAGTACCTAAACATCTGGGATACCACGCACTACGCTTGTTTAAACACTTAAGTATTTGATCACATTATTGTTACCTATACTTTAGGGGTCATCCATACGTCATTTACGTTTCGGAGTCGCGGAGAACCTAACGGGTAACCGGGGCTCCGGCTCGACGTGCAGGAGAAGGAACGGGGTGGTTTTTAGTTAGTAAGAGTCTGACACTCCCTTCCGCCTCACCCAGGCGGGAGCAGTCATTCGATAATTTTACCCCCTTAAAAAAAAATAAAAAAAATACGTCATTTACGTCACACGAATTTCATGATTTTTTGCCCCTCCCCGTCCTTGTCACAGCTAGTCACATTTTTGAGACTGGGCCCCCTAGTGTGACGTCACATTTTACAGAATTACAGTTTATAAACTATTGTTATTTTTATTTCCACTTAAATTACTTTAAAAAAAATATTACTTAATGTCAAATCAATTAACATAATAAAAAACATTAGGTAATACAATTAGGTATATTTCGTATTTTAACGCAGATTATAGTTTTTAAAATGTAACATCACAAAGTTTTGGATTCCTACCTCACCTTGTCACACTTCGTCGACCCCCTCCCTCCCACTTAAGTTGTAACATAATTTATGGTTGGCACCTTATATAATTATTATTATATAGGTATCTGGCCAATTTGGTATGTTAATCGGATTTGCATTAGACATCTAAAAAACTAAGGTAAGAAGTCAGTTAGTACTATGTCGGCACTACAAACAGGGTGGGAAAAAACAAAATTAAACCAATTTTGTTGAAGTTCAATGTCCATTTTAAGTAAATCCATCCATTTATCCAGAAGCCAAAATTGATAAGCAGTTACGGTACCTAATATGACTTGGTACTAGTCCTTTTAAAAACGACCAGATTTTAATTTGGCACGAATGGGCCGGCTCGACCGGAGTGATACCACGACCTCACAGAAAACAGACGTGAAACAACGCTTGCGTTGTTTTCGTCGCGTGAGTGAAGTTACCAGAGGCCCAATTACCCCCTTCCCCAGTCTCTTCAATCCCCGAATACCCCACAATCCTAAATTCCTAATTCCCAAAAGGCCGGTAACGCCCCTGGTGTTCTAGGTATCCATGGGCGACGCCGATTGCTTACCATCAGGTGATTCGTCAGCTCGTTTACCGGCTTATCTAATAAAAAAAGACCACATCTAAAAACCAGTCATCTCAAGTCTGCAAATAAAGTATTCTACGCAGTAAACGTCAAACACAACGACCTCGTGATCCCCGCAGACCAGTAATCCATTTCTAAATAAAATATCTCGTCATAAAAGGTTCTCCTCGTGCAGTATTCAAGAAGTGCAGGTGGTCGACTGCCAAAGTGCCGTCGGCAAGTGACAATCCAATTTTGTTCAGACACAGACCTCCCCCGAGGGGGCTGAATAAAACCTCCTCAGTAAACATTGACTACAGTGTTACCAACACAAAATAAATGAAATTCTCAGTTCTCTACGAGATATAAATGCACCGAGTTATTTTTGAGTGGTCGTCTTTTGTTTGGTTTTTACTTTTTTAGTCATGAAAGTGTTTTGTTGTCAAAATAAATTATTTATTGTATGTGCCAGTTTTGAAGTCGATAAGATGGATAGACTACCTACTCTAATTGCCAATAGGCCTGTTTGAGTAGATTACCTACCTTCATAATACCTATTCAACATAAAACCATCACGCCATTTATACCCAAAGGGTAGGCAGAGGTGCACATTATGGCACTTGATGCCACTGTGCAATTTAGCACCCACTTTTTACTATTTATGTTACGAGTCCCATTCCCATGTAATAGGGGGTGAGCCAATTGTTATATATCGAACACATTTCCAAACTACGTGCTACTACTGAGATTGTTTTTTAAAACCCAATAATATACAGCCCGACTCAGGAATCGAACCCGAGCCCGCAAACCCTCTTTGCCCGGTAGTCGCTATTGAGAGCACTCGACCAATACGACAGTCACCTATTTCATAACTCGCACGACCCACGTGTATGGATTGAAGCATTTTATAGACACGTACTGACTGACCTAGTCTCGAGGCCTGCCTCGCGAGGCAAATGCTGGACCAGGTACGATGTGCCTCGCCCAAGGCAACCGCACAAGCATGTCGCGGACCGAACCGAACGTTGTGGATTTGTTTTGTCAACTTTTTTCAAAGGCTGCCTCGATCCAAAAATTTCGAAAACACATCGAGGCTGCCTCGCGAAGCGGTCGTCCCGCGGCAATCACCTGAGGCTGCTCGTCCAGTCAGTATACATGGCTTATCAACATTTTTTTTGAGAGAATAGGAGATAGGTACGGTATCCTACATTCTCAAACTAATAAAGTACTCTATCAGTGCCTTTAGCCTAACACCATTTAGCGCTTGTCTACATGTAGAATAGAAAACCAAATTATATGGAATTGACGTAAATTTTGACACATGCCAGTGTGATCCCCGTACATTTAGTTTTCTACTCTCTCTGTAGACAAGCGCTAAAGTGGCGTTTGGCTAAAGGCACTGGTCATATAAACATTCCCGTTAAAAGGGCCAAGTGCCGAATCACCACTTAAGATTTTTAGTGTATCTCAAGTTGTAATACTACCTACCTACCTATACCTCCCTTTTGGTATCAGAAAAATAAATACAACTAAAAATCATTTATTAAACACTAGTCACACATTAATCTAGTTCTTGTCGCCTATGAAGGGCGTTTCATAATGTTCGAAGTACCGGCGCACGCGGCGGTCGCCCTGCTCGCTCGCAAATATAACTTGAGTCAGCTGTTCCACCAGCTCCAGGGTGCTGGTGCTGATGCTAATCTCATGTGTGAAGCCCAAGAACGAAGAGCGCTCAGTTTCCAACACGTCTGACGTCTTGAAAAAAAGTTTTTTATAATTACCAAACTGAAGCTGAAATAGTAATCGATTACAAACCAAAATCTCCCAATCAACTTGATTTTCTGACAGATTTCGTTTTTCAGCAGTAGATAATGAGAAAATTTCATTTTAATATATAGATGTACAGTTGGTAGTCTGGTCTGGTCTCCATAATAACCTAAGCTTCGAAAGATGGCGTCTAAAATTGGGTGTCTGGACTCGCTCACCGGTCCAATGAATGGTAGGTACTTTTGATACCGTCACTAGCTATTATCATTGCTTAAAAACTTAGCATGGCCCTAAGCGCGGTATATATTTAGGAAGCGATTCTGGGTTAGGCCTTTGCCTAACCCAGAATCGCTTTAAATAAATATCTCCTTGGTCTCCAGTCTCATATCCAACCGTTCGACGAAAATTTTTATCAATATTTATAGGTACTCACCGCCATTGCTAACATAAAGAATAGAAATAAAACTATGCTATATTTCTTCAACGGTCCAATCATTGCACAAGAATCGTATAAAATAGAAATAACATTATTTCCTCAGAAATTACACATTATAGTCGAACAAACATTTGTCAAAAATATGCGCAAGAGTGGATTTTTGACGTTTACGTATCGTATACGTATAAAAATCGTAACAAACAATAAATTTTATTACTATTCGATATTGAGAAAATAAATTGAAATCATATTTACATCAAGGCTTACGTATTTATTTTTATTTATTTATTTGTGTCAGGCAACGAAGGTCCATATTAAAATACAATAATATTGAAATACAATATATAAACTGAATACCTATAACTATACGGCATTATTTTGAAACCCCTACCGTGTACTCTGTTCTCAGGATGAAAATTCGTTAATATTAGACATAAATGAAAAGGAAAGGATCAATTCAAAAACCAGTTAGCTAATTTACTATTGAATTTATTTACAAAAATACTTCATTCAATTGAAATTACAATATGTAGGTAACAGTATTGAGCGTCCAGTAAATACAACACACGTGATTTAAGTAATGTAAATTCGAATACATACCATGAAGCTATTAATATTTAAAGGCCAACATTTTAACACAACTTCTCAAAAGGAGTGTAATTATTTGTCTATATATATATATAAATGAAACCCATTTCCCGTTGTCACGCCATATCTTGAGAACGGCTAGGCCTATTTAGCTGATTTTTTTTTTGTTGTGTTTATTATTGTCAGGAGAAGGTTTTCATGACAGTAAAAAGTCCTGAAAATCCTACAGGAACGGGAGAAAACGAGATTGCGCGTACGAAGTCGCGGGCAGAAGCTAGTTCCTAATGTTTATCAAACCTTAAATGAGGTGCCCAAATAATATCAGCAACTGAACATATCAATCCTTACTAATATTATAAATCGGAAAGTGAGTTTGTTTGTTTGTTCCGCTTTCACGCCGTAACTACTAAACCGATTGCTTTGAATTTTTGCAGACGTAAAGTTAGAAGTCCGGATTAAATAATAGAGTTTTTTATCCCGGAAAAACTTGATATTCCCGAGGGAAAACAAAAGTATTGGTATAGATGGCGCTGTGTGTATTGGTATAGTATGTCACATAGGCTACTTTTTATCCTTTTGTGACGCGAGCGAAACCGCGGGTAAAAGCTAGTATCATAATAAATAAAACATATTTCCTTGTATAATTCACAGAACTATTACTTAGCAAAAATATAATAAATATTATAACAAAATCAGTATCAGCCCTCGACAGTAAGCAACGTGTTTGCATATTGGAATTCGGGACTGTTTTCGTACTCCGACATATCCAGCGCCACCTCACAACTCTCGCGGACAACTGGACGAGGGTCATTTAGATACCTGGAAATGTAGAAAAAAAATATATAAAATCAATAATTATTTTTGTAACGTTAGTGTCATATTGCGGACTCAACAATCTAATATATAAAATTCTCGTGTCACAGTTTTCGTTGCCATACTCCTCCGTAACGGCTTGACCGATTTTGATGAAATTTTTGTGCTTATCCGGTATCTATGAGAATCGGCCAACATCTATTTTTCATCCCCCTAAATGTTAGGGGTAGTCCACCCCTAGTTTTTTTTTTGACAAATTTTTAATTCCTATTTTTTTATGATACAAGATTCAAAAATACATAGGTACAATCATCAATCACAAATTATTTATATGGCAAAACAACGTTTGCCGGGTCAGCTAGTAATTTTATAAAAATGTAGAGAAACAAACATAATTATTACATCATAGATTTAGACGCAGTACATATATTAATGATTTATTGTTACAAAAATGCTGACTGCCTCGTTGGCCGAGTGGTCGCAAGTGCGACTGCCGGGCAAGGGGTTTCGGGTTCGATTCACAGAATCTGGAATTGTGCCCGGTATATGGCAATAACATAAATAGTGAAAAGTGGGTGTTACATTGTACAGTGGCCTTAAGTGCGCACAGTGTCGTGTGAGTGAGGTTACCGGAGGCCCAATTACCCTCCTCTTCCCCAATCTCCCCAATCCCTGAGACACCAACGATCCTCAAACTCCTAATCCCCAAATGGCCGGTAACGCACTTGTAACGCCTCTGGTATTCCAGATGTCCATGGGCGACGCCGATTGCTTACCATCAGGTGATCCGTCTGCTGCATGGTATAAAAAAAATAATAATCACACTTTCATTAATTAAATTTATGACCAACTTAATTTTAGTATTCTTCCAGCAAATATTTAAGAAATAAGTATGCTGTTTGATGCTAACACAATGTGACGTCACAATACACAATCTCATACAACATTCATAGAAAACTGTCGTTTTTGACAGTTCGAAAAAAGCATTGAATTTGACTAGTTGGTAAGTACCCAATAATAATCACCAATCAAGTGGTATGTTCCTTTTCAGTTACCAACAACTAAAACTACCACAAAGTTAAGTTCGACGGCCCAATAATCTGCCGTCACCACTCGACACTGGCAGTATAGTCGACAACACTGTATTGGAAACTCCATTGCCAAAAAAGAAAGAAAAAAAATGGTATGTTTACCTTTGTAGCACCTCAGTACATTCTTCAGTAGCAATAGAGCCCAGTGCCTCAGCAGCCTCGTGTCTCACCATCTCATGCTCACTGGTATCCTCAAGGGTCTTCTTCAAGAAGGGAACACTCCTCTCATCTTGCATCTGACCAAACACAAATGCTACCTCATGCCTGAAGAGGGCGCTGGATGCTTTGAAACCTGGAAAATGCAGATAGAATATGAATTAGAAAATGTAATAAAGATTTATGTTTATATTTGTTGTTTGTAAAAATAATAATAAAAAAGGTGTTTAGTTACTACAAATACTTAATATAACATAACATAACATCACGCCTTTTATCCCCAGGGGTTACATTGGTGCACATTACGGCACTTATTGCCACTGTACAATGTAACACCCACTTTTCACTATTTATGTTATGAGTCCCATTTAATAGGGGGTGAGGCTATTGCCATATACAGGGCACAATTCAAGACTCCGTGCTACTACTGAGATTTTTTTAAAAACCCAGTAATACTTTGCCCGACCCAGGAATCGAACCTGAGACCCCTCAACCGGCAGTAGCACTTTCAACCACTTGGCCAACGAGGCAAAAAACAAGGCATTGCTTCATGGCCTTTTTAAATGGGAGTTTTAGAATGTCTGTATATTCTTCAAGTGTTTAAAACGAGTGAATGTTAACTACTACTATATAATTTTTACAACATAGTTTAAAGGATATTTAAGAAATATTTGAAACTAACCTTCACCCAAAGCATTAATACTCTCAGTGGTGCTCAAATTCCTTAAACTGAACATAGCTCTATATCTCTCAAACAGAGGCTTAGATTCATCCATTAAAGTGTTCTTCAGATTCTCTACATCACTCTCACTGCTCGGTGGAGCAGGATCTATGGATGTGAACAAACTCTTTGACAAGTTAACCTCTTTGGTGCTGTCATTAGCCACCCAGTTTAGCCGCTGCAATGCTATCTGACACGTCTCTGCCACTTCAATTGCAGGATCATGTTGGTACTTCTCTAGTAACTCTCTGAGGTTTGGGTCTCCTATGGCGCCTAGAGCTTCACCTGTAATGTGTAATAAGAATTATGGAGAATGTTTGTTAAGTGAATAAAAATTAAACAGTTAGTAATTTACTATGGGAGTAAACTAATTTTGATTCTGTTATATATACCTACGTAAATGTTTAATTATTATGTTGTTACATTATTATGTGTCTACACAACACCTTCCAATTAGATTTTAAAAACTCATGAGTATGAATATAATTTTAAAACCATAAATTAGAACTCAAATTTAGAATGCATCTAACTCTTAGAATAGCACTTGTAAATGAGTGCACTTGAACTAAAAACCATGACTGATACAGTAAACCATGCATGCTTTCGCTCACGTACTCGCTATCACAGAATTTATCAACATCTTGCGATTTAGAAGATAAGAACAAACCTGCTTCATGGCGAACTATGGGATCCTGGTTTTTGTCCTCTAAAACACTTCTAAGTACAGGTATTGCGCGTTGATCCTGCATTTGACCTAAACAGTAAGCTAATTCATGCTTTAGCAGCACAGATTCATCCACAAAACACTGACTAATGCACTCAATAGCGGTTTCACCACCCAAGTTTCTTAGAGTAAATAACGCACGGAAACGCTCCTTCATTGGCCTCGAAGGATCATTGAGGACCTTCCCAATGCTCTTTATAGCCGACTCACTAGCTTTTGCCATTCTTTATTGCGAATAAATAACAAAAAATAAGAAGAGTGTATCAAATACTAAGCAACAACATGCCAAATGCCAATTGGCAACATGCGGTTGTGACAGTTGACAGCTAATCATGATCTGTCACTTTACTGTCATTGTCACTTGTTTGGATAGCTTCCCAAAATGACGTTAATTTTCCTTTAAAGTATAATGTCAAAAAGCCTTATATTAAAGATCATTTTGATTGAAGTACCGAATTTGAGTTCTATTTTTCTTTGATATCATTAACCCATTCTAGATAAACGTTATAAAAGAAAACTAATTTAAGTATGTTATTAAGTTGAGTATTTATTATTTTCAGTACAATTTTACTTACTAGGAATCAAGAACATAACATAACGTAACTTCAGACCTTTTATCCCCAAAGGGGTAGGCTGAAGTACACATTATGGCACTTAATGCCACTGTACACACGGCTACACATCAATCTATACAAAACCAGTCAATTCTGGTGTCGCGTCTCATCATCTTTCCGCACATTTAACTTTCAGTTTATACTGGTTATTAAAGCTCGATGTGTAGCCGTGTGTACAATGTAACACCCACTTTTCACTATTTATGTTATGAGTCCCATATTGCCATTTACCGAAAATTTAAGTATACGATTGAAAAAACCCAGTAATACTTTGCCCGACCCGGGAGTCGAACCCAAGACCCTTTGCCCAGCACTCGCACTGGCGACCACTTGGCTAACAAGGCAATCTCTACTCTATTAGGAATTAAGACTTATTTCTTAAATTACCAGCACCCTTTTCTTATCATTTGATGAATGTATCCGAAAATAAATTTTAATGTGACCAATCGTGAATAAAAATATCTCGCCAATCACAAAATGTACGGATTTCAAATTCACATTTTTAAAAACACGCATATAAATCAGTCTAGTACCCAATAAACAACGTTTAGAACATTTTACTACTATACTATATATTTATTGTTTCAAATAAAAAAATACTACATAAATGCAATAAATATTTAAGTTGTCTAATCAAAAGTAATATTATTGTTACTTTATTTCAAGTTCTTGACCTTAATATACGGAATACACAGGCGTGGATAAAAGTTTATTGATTGTGCACTCGTAACTTTTTGCAGTATTTACAAGGAAGGTGTGCAAAATCAGCAGACGAAAGGCTAGTCTCTTTTACAACTATTGATGAAAGAAATCTATATAAAGATTATCTCAGGTTCAGTCAAACAATCAGTCGATCGCGGTCCTTCAGTCGTTGCTCATGCGTCAAAGTTAAAAACAAATAAATATACGAATTTCGACCAAGAAAACTGTAGACCATCGATTGAATAGGTATTTTTTTTTATTTACTTTTTTTAATTAACATTTATTGTGTCATTATAATGTGCGTGACATTGTTTTTTTTATCGCAAAAGTGCTAAACTAAATACTGCTTGAACCTTGAACAGAACTAATAATATTTGAATGCTATTCTTTATGGATATTACTAACATTATTATTTTTATATTCGCCTTTTGTGTACCGTCTACTGCGCCATAATAATTTGACATTGGCAGCACCTTTACCTCATTGTTATTAGGTCGGTTGTATTAAAGTTTTACTTAGTATTTTGCTGCCTGTACCTACTTATTTATTATAATAAGTACGTAGGTAACTATGTATATCGTCTCGTGATATTGTATATACTTTTATTGATTTAATAATTAAAATGGACGTTTAAGCATGGCACATATTTACATTGTTTCTTTTTTTTATTATTAATGTTATAATTACCTACTATTTTTAATAGGTATAAATATTATAGGTAAACATACATAACAAAGAGAATATTAATTACTTTTGAATATGGGTCTTACGTATAAAAGTAAAATCTAAACACCTGGGTACTTACGTACATACCTACCTATTATTTATTATAGCACAATTTGTCAATAGAACAATGGATACTAGTCGCCATCTACCAGTATTATCGACATTCCTTCTCATACCCATGTATTAGTCTCTACACGTTGGTAGAAATAACTACTTACCAATTATTAACGTAGGTAGGTGACTGAATGACCCATATTTGCTTTAATCATTTTATTTACTCTTCTAGCTGACATCAAATCGATAACGAACCACATATTTTAATCAATAAACGAAAGAAAATAGAGCATTCAACGACTAGAAGAAAAACCTTTTTCGTCTTTGGCTGAATGCACTAAAAATAGTGCAGTTAGAAAAAAACTCTAATCACTCATTACAACAAGGCAAAGGAAACAAGACATCCAGCCAGTTGTTTTGACAATCGCAAGAATAAAAAAAACACTTCAAAAATATTTTTTACTACTTATATTTGTTTTGTAAGAATTAACCATGGACCGCACGCCAACTGTTTATCCCTTCCCAGAACACCTGATAAATCCAAGAAAGGAGTACCGAAGACCTGTGAGGCAAAGGCTTGTCCGTTCAATATCTGAAAACATGGGCGTTGGGGACTTAATGAAACGATGGTGGTGGGGCGGAGACCCTGATGAGAGAAACAAAGTATCTGGCATGTCACTGAGGGATGTGTACAATGTGCAAAAATCTTGGGCTATCATAAATGCAAACTCCAACGGAAACGGATTCCTGATGTTTTTTAGGTAAAGTATGGCCTTTTTTATTATTACAATTTACTAGTCATGGTACATGTTTAAATTATTTAATTTTAACAATTTACACTGTCAAGTTACATGATTTCAATTAAGTACATGCGTATTCGTAAAGTCATTATTATGACTGGTACGTAATGGCGGACAAAAACGCGCCAAAATACATTCAATTGTATTTTTTGTCGTTTTAAAAAATCATTGGTAATGTGCTCATACGACGCAGTTTTCAATTAGTCTGGCTATAATTATGTAATTTAAATAGACATGGGCCGCCGGTGTTGTGTGTCTAGTTAAATAATTATTAACACATGAGTTTATTACTATATTACTAGACGTAGACGTCATGGAGTCATGGCAGTACCTATTTTGATGCTAAATGTGATTTAGAAAGAATATGAATAGGTACAATTATAAGATATTTATTTACTTATTACTATAAGTAAATAATATTTTAATTTAAATTTGAACTACTGTTCAATATTTTTTTATAATTTTAATTTTATACTTTTTATTCTTGTCACCAAGGATGTTGAAAAAAAGAGAAGAGCCTAGTTTTTTTGCTCTTATTTTTTATTTTTAGTACTCTAAGGAGGTTCCTTAATAATCCATCTCGCTGAAATACATAACTGCATAACTATTACTGGCCATTTTAATGAAAAATTATAGGAAGCCATTTGTTTTTATTTTTAATATCATTTTTTTTTGTGCAAAAATTGGCATCGGGGCACTTTTTCCATCCCAAATGACTATTCATTTACACATGAAATATTGTTAAAATATCATTTCGATGATGGTTTCATGGTCTACGACGTGGACTTTACAGCTACGTCTATTTTGTGTTTCGTAAATCATAAATTATGTTCTTCCTTCAAAATGAAACCTAAGCCAGCAGGGAAAGTTTATTATAAAAGGAAAATTCTGAATTACAACACTTTAACAACAATTTCTAACTCTTACAATCACTTACACAGACTCTTCGAAGCAGAACCAGAAACGAAGACATTCTTCAAGAACTTGGCCCACATCCATACTGAAGCAGAAATGACGGCAAACGTTAGTTTTAGGGCACATATCATCAACATTATGTCTTCCTTTGACAACTCTATTAAGAATCTGGACAAACCCGAGCTGGTGGTAGCGTGGATGCAGAAACTTGGTGATTCGCATCGAAGACATCGCATTGAGAAAAGGCATTTCCATGTAAGTTCATCATTCGATTCCAAATATAGAGCACATTTACGCATTGATATCAAAGAGCGTCAGTTTATTTTACGTTTAGTGTTAGTTTATTTTACGTTTAGTTTTTGTTTATTTTACGTTTAACGAGACCGCGTTCGATGCTCTGATTGGCGGTTCCAATGAATCAACCATTTAGAGCGGCGTACGTGGTCTCCTTTCGATCTAGTTAAACGTAAAACATATTCGTACTAAGCCCTCAGTATATCTACTTTATATCTATGAGAAATATTTTTATAATGCTCCGATACTTCTCAAGGGAATATAAATATGTACCTATGTACATGCTGAACACTAATTTCCTTTCATAGTTTTGACTGTAAGTCGTTTATCAATAGTTTTGCGTTGACTCGTTGTATGAACCATGTATATGGGAACTTGAATGTTTGTAAACACACTCACGACACAGGAGAAAATCCTAGTGTGGGGCAACGTATTTCTTTTCAAAGACAAAAAGATGTCTGGATACATTTCCAAACTTCGTGAATTAAAAATCAGAACGTTATTTTCATCATTCGGTTTATGAGTAATTATCGGAAGTTCTATTTATTTCTGTTCTATTTTTATGAATCGAGTATCGTATTGGAATTTTGATATATTCCCCTTAGAGACTTTGTCTAACTTATCAATGTCCACCCACAGAATCCATAGGAGTCGATTTCGGTTCGATTTTAATTGTGACAGTCTTCAGGGAGGCAGTATAATAAAATCCATGACTGTGGTGAACTAATATAGTTTGTCTATGGTATATTTTATAAAAAAAAAACTATTATTTGTCTACAGGTATTCAAAGACGTGCTGGTAACCATACTGCAGAAAGATTTGAAACTGGAACCTCAAGTAGTAGAATCTTGGGATAGGTACGTCGAGTTTATATACGAACATTTACTTTCTAGATTGGCGTCATAAATTAAATTAAAAAATGAAAATGCATACCGCAGTGGTTAAATTTCATCGGCTACCTACGCTAATTTTTGTGGAGTTTTATTTCTATAGATAAGCATATAACGGCGAGTTTCGATTACCTTTGGTAAAATTGGATGCTAGAGATAACATTATGATATAATCTTCATAAAAGGTATGTAAATAGGTATTATAGTCTTAAGTGTAGAATAAAATTAGCATTTGACAGTTTTTAGAATAAAAGAAGTTGATAAAATTTAACAACCATTGTAAAATCGGCCCTAACGACCAGTCTGAACATCTTAATTGTCGGTAAGTAAAGGCTGTTTAGAAGTAAAATTTCGACACATTTTCACTCATAATTTAATGGACGCTCTCAACCCCAAAATCAGATTTCGATTTTTCAATCATCAATGAATTTTTACGTAACATAACATCACGCCTTTTTATCCCCGAAGGGGTAGGCATAGGTGCACACAGAAGTAACACCCACTTTTCACTATTTATGTTATGAGTCCCATGTAATAGGGGGTGAGTCTATTGCCATATACCGGACATTTCCAGACTCCGTGCGACTAGGTACTGAGATTTTTAAAAACCCAGTAAGACTTTGTCCGACCCGGGAATCGAACCCGAGACTTATTGCCCGGCGTCTCGGGTTCGAGTCGCACTGGCGACCATTCGGCCAATGAGGCAGTCTTCAGATTAGTCAGAAAATCATGTCAAAATACTCTTTGTCTAAAGTTGGGAAGTTGAGGCTAGCCGTTAGAATGTTAATGATATGTTCTTAAATATAGTGTTGTATACCCATAAGCAATAAATAAGTGATGTATCTTTAAGAGGAAAAATATTTTTGCATTTGTAAACGTAAATATCTAAATGGCAAATCCAAAATAAAAACAGGACACTGAAGTTCTATAAATAAACAAATTAAACATTTTGATATTGCTTTAGGAACTCCATATTGTAACAGGAAAAATAAAAAATGTCGAGTTTTTAATAATAGGGTAGATGCCTAATTTTATATTTTAATGTATGTACGTCTGGTAGATTATTTTAAATCATTAGACACGTATTTTTTATTTTCTTACAGAAACGAATACTTTCGACGATATATTGATTTGAAGTGTCTCGTGACGTCACTTCTATGCAATTTTATACGTAGATATGAAATTTTAGCCCTCACTCCTAAACTTTGATTCGTTTTATCTAAGTATTCTTTTATTATACAACAAAATAAAAAATACGTGTCTAATATTTTTTCATTACCTAACGTACCTACGGACTAATTAGATTTTTAATTTTCATACGCCGTCATCATCCCAATTATTATTGTATAATTATTATAACTGCATATGAATAAATAAAATATGAATTTAAGTTGTAATATTTATGGTGTAAAACATATTTAGTGAGATAGTTTAGCTCTCAGGGCCGATTTTTCAATCAACGGCTTTAACTAAATAAAAAAAAACAAACTATAGAATAAAATTGACATTTGACCATTTTTAGTAATGGAAGTAAAAAAATATTCAAAATTATTCCTTCAATAAAAATTATTTGGCGTTGATAAATCGACCCAAATTTTAAAGGTCATTTTTATAAAAAATGCATTTTGCCTTATGTACCTTATTTTGTGTGTATTAAAGTGTAAATAAATAAAAATAAATAAATTTTGAGTGTTATTTTATGATGTCGCAGTATTATCTGTATAATGACATTATTAGGTTTAAAAAAATAAAATCGTAATAAAAAACAATGTCTTTCATTACCCCGCCCCTAATTTATAAGTGACCAATCCTTGAATCGATTCCAAAGAGCTTGAGATCATCAAAAATGGTCTGATAAATAAGTAAGTTCATAAAAAAATACGCATTTACTGATGTGTCTATTGCCATGCAAGATTTCCAAGCTCTACAACTAGTGAGAATTTTCAAAAACCACTTAATACAGCTTTATTGTATGATTTTCATGACATGCACATGTTTTGTTGGAGATCCTATACATATAATGAAATAAAAAACTGTTCTTGTCCAAGCCCGCATAAAAATCTTGTAATGTCTCAAAATCTAAATGTCCTAGCTTAAAATACATATGCCACACCCCCGTAAACACATGTCATATTTTGCTGATTGAGGTATTTTTTTAAGGGGGGAAAATCATCGAATAACTTCTCCCGCCTGGGTGAGGCGGGAGCGTAAGACTTACTGACTAAAAACCACCCCATTTCCTTCTCCTGCGCTTCGAGCCGGAGCCCCGGTAATCGAGCCGGAGCCCCGGTACCCCGTTAGGTTCTCCGCGACTCCGAATCGATATTAGCCCTTTTGGGCCCATCCGTGGTGGTCAGAGGCCTTAGTACAAGTTTGTTTTACGTTTAAAGTAATCGTAACGACTACGCATTCGGCTGTGATTGGTTGCTTCATTGGCGCCGGCCAATCAGAGTGCTGAACGCGTACTCGTTTCGAATACTAAGGCCTCTGATGGCTCTTAGAGGAGCGCGCGAAACGCGACGCGCCGTATGCTCGGCTGATTGAGGTATAGGGTGGGAATGACCTCGGCCTGTAATGGACCCATTTACAATATCTCAAACATACTTATATGTGGACAAACGCTAACACTATAATAATACATTTATTGAGGAACTTAACTGGTCTTGTCTAAAATAACGAATTATTAGTAACTGTTGTGTTATACACCCCCTTTAAACACATATTTTGCTGATTGAGGAAAAGGATGGGAATGACCTTTTCCTGATACGGGCCCATTTATAACCCTTAGACACAAAACTTTTGACGAAAAGGAATATATTTTTCAAACGCAAGATAGCTTAGATTTCTTAGTCCGTACGGAAATCTTGCAAACACATTTTTTTAATTGACGGATACAGGATTAGATTGGAATAATAAATATAATAGTATAATCATTTATACTTGCCTCCTTTTTTTATTTATGACTGCCTCGTTGGCCGAGTGTTCGCAAGTGCGACTGCAAGGGGTCTCGGGTTCGATTCCCGGGTCGGGCAAAGTATTACTGGGTTTTTTTAAGAATTTTCAGTAGTAGCACGTAGTCTGGAATTGCCCATCCCAATAGAAATTGGAACCCATTACATGGGACTCGCATAACATAAATAGTGAAAAGTGGGTGTTACATTATACCGTCGCATTTTAGTTAAGTGCCGTAATGTGCACCTCTGCCTACCCCTCGGAGGATGGGCTCGCTGCCATTGCAGCGGTAAGACCCCTCTTTGAGGAGTGGCTTGAGAGACGCTACGGCGTCCTCACCTACCGCCTGACGCAGGTCCTCACCGGACATGGAAGTTTCGGGAGGTACCTGTGTCTGATGGGGCGGGAGGAAACGCCCGGGTGTCATCACTGCGAGGACCGCCCTGAGGACACGGCGGAACACACCGTAGCGGAATGCCCTGCGTGGGCTGAGCACCGCCGTGCCCTCAGGGAAGTGATCGGCGATGGCGACCTCTCGCGTCCGGGCCTAGTGCAGGCCATGATGCGGAGCGAGGGGGACTGGGATGCCGTCTCCTCCTTTTGCGAAGCAGTTATGCTAGCTAAGGAGGAGGCGGGACGCGTGAGGCAGCGAAGCGCTGCCTCCTCGCAACCCAGCCATCGCGAAGGACACACCGGGCGTTGGGGATCGCGGGACGATCTCCGGCCACCGAAAGCGCGGGCCTGCGGGCGGCGAGCATGGGTGGCTCCCCGTCCGACCAGAAACAGACTCGAGCGTACGGCGCGTCGCATTCCGCGCGCGCCTCAAAGAGCCATCAGACCACCACAGATGGGGCCCAATAGGGCTGATGCCGATTCGGAGTCGCGGAGAACCTAAGGGGTAACCGGGGCTCCGGCTCGACGTGCAGGAGAAGGAACGGGGTGGTTTTTAGTCAGTAAGAGTCTGACGCTCCCTATCGCCTCACCCAGGCGGGTCAGCCATTGGATGATTTTCTCCCTTAAAAAAAAAAAGATGTTATGTTATGTAATCATGTATTTCAGACTAATTGGTCCATATTGGGTTAATAAAAAAGAGACTTAAAAACTACTAGCTTTTACCCGCGGCTTCGCTCGCGTCACAAAAGGATAAAAAGTAGCCTATGTGACTATCCATCCGTTACTACGTTCAGTTAAAAAATCACGTTAATAAGTACCTCCGTTTTGCCGTTTAAGACAGGCAAACAAACAAATAGCTTTCCGCTCGCGTGTAATTCGGTTATATCGCACTTTTTAGATTTTTCCAGGGAAATGAGAAGTTCTGCCGTGGTAGAGCCTTGTTTTTCCAGAACTCAAACTACCTCCATACCAAATTTCTTCAAAATCCGTTCAGCCGTTTAGGCGTGAAAGAACATCATACAGAAGGAGTTATTTTCGCATTACCACAAATACCATCCTCCCACTACAATTTAAAAGACTTTACCTAACTAATATAAAGTTACTGTATCAATCAACCTCAACAATGAACAAAGCGACTTAAAATAATAACTACTATAAATAATAATATCTACCTAGAAAAAAAAAACTTAACTAAACAAACCTAATATTGAGCGAACAAAAAAAAATCAATCACAGTGTTAGATGCTTACACCAAAATAATTGTTCCGGAAGATCGGAACCTATACTTTCGCCGGTAACGAAACAATAGCGCCATCTCTTAACGCCATCTATCGAGCGTTGAAACAACAGCGTACAATTTATTTGCTAAAATTGTTGACGATTGATTTCGTGTAGGTAGGACCTTTAACAACCTAAAATCTATAAAATATGTACACAATTTAATGTAAAATGGTAGGAAAGAATACTTAAAAAAACAACGCTACCACGTTTTTAAAACACCTAGCGCTATCTATCGCTAAGTAGCGTGACTACTACATAGATACCAATTAGTGACTCGTTGACTTATAAAC